ATATATATATAGTCTTCACAATACTTCAAGTCCAGTCTTTGAGTTTCAGCAAAGTCTCTACACTCCGACAAGTCTTGAAGTAGGAGGATTTGTAGACATTTAAAACTTAAATGGACTTCAATCCATAAGAAATTTGGATAATGTCCTAATCTCAAATCATGTTCAAATAAATATTTTGGGCTAATATAAATGAATTAATTATTCAAGTCCAATATATATGGATTTAATTAAAAAGTTCAATTTGGGCTTGTCCTTTTAATTGTGCTACAAATGATAAATCCATGTTATTAGCCCAAGTTAATTAGATGTCATCTTTTCTTAAAGGCTCAACTTGTGTCACGTGACAAGTGACATGGCGTGCCAAGTCAAACAATGGAGCCAATGAGATCTGCCATGTGTAAAATGATGCGGCATGCCAAGTCAAATGAAAAATATCATGCCAAGTGCACAAGTGATATGTTTTGACCCATCAAATGTGGTCTTATCATTGTTTTTATCTGATAGGTGATAGGTCGGCGGGTCAAGACTCAAGACAACAGAACAATAGGTATCCTGCAAAGATAAGGTGCCAAACTGAAATATCGTGTCAAGTTCAGGGGGTTGTCAATGTATTTGGCCTAATTTTTTACACGGGGAAAGCAAATTAGTTAAGAACTGTTATTGCTGGGGACTATATTTCCTCCATTTAATAGGTGAAAGCTTGAGCCACTAAAGAGTTGAACAGTGCTGCACCAAATGGACAGGAAAAGGTTGCTCTCTCCTCTGGAATTGAGGGCTGATAATCATTCTTTCCATATTCCATTATTTCTCCAGTGAAATGTACCAAAAAGTCGCTAACCTTGCTCTTCATAAGAGCTTCTCTTTCTCCCTGCTTTAAGGCATTAAGAAAAAAGTATTGATTCTCGAGATAAGAAAAAGTGCCCTTTATGGTGGCAGAAGTTTTGTCATGAAAGATGCACTAAGAAAGCTCTAGGAACTTGAGCTTGGACAACATACATGAAGAAAGTTCAGAACCATATTTTGGTTATCCTTTTTTTCTTTATCTCCTAGATCAAATATTTTGATGCATATAGGAAGCTGTACCTCTTAATATGCCCTGGAGAATCATCTTTATATATAATTGGAATGACCTGATTGCGGATTGTAGAATCAGCAACTGATGCTTAAATACTTTTAGAACTGTTAACCAAGAGTTCCTGCATTGGGATCACCAAGGGTCTCATCCTGCTTTTCCTTTCCTCTTCTTCCTTTTCCCACTTTTTTTTATTTAAACTCTCTTCTTTTTCTTTTTCCCCCTTTCGACATCCCTAACATCCTTTTTCTCTGTAGATCCTGCATCTTCCTTGCCTTCTTTTTCTTGTTTCGCCGAAACTAAATGAAAGGAACTGGGGTAGTTGCAGCTATTTGTGAAACTTAGGTGTTTTTACTTGCCAAGGATTCAGTAAGTAGCAAAATGCAATGTGGGAAAAAAAAAGTCAAAGCAGCTCCTTGGCACTTCACTATGTCTTCTTCTCTTTTATGTTCGCCCACCAATTTAACATATTTAATGATTCAAAATGTTTTTTTTTTGTTTTTTCCCAAGTGTTTCTCGTACATATTGCTGTTGCAGTTAATGTGACAAATTCTAGTTCTGGTTGTCATTGAATTGCCAAATCATCATTTATACGTATAGCCTATGGGCAGAGAAGGGACAATGATGAAAAGGATATCACAGATGCCTATTAATATGGTGATAGAATATAAGAGTCCACCAAACTCTATAGAGAACCAGAACCAGGTTCTCTATCAGGTTCAACAGAACACACGCACACTGCAGTAAGTAAATGATACAGAGGAATTTTACCAGCTCAACGGGATTAAAAATCACGACCTACCCTTGTAGGATTTCAACTTCACTACTGAGAAATCTTTAGATTACAGCCTATTGTAACCTAGGAATTAACCTCTTAATCCCTCACTAACTTGTAACTACACTATTACAAGCCACTTTGCAATAACTCTATTACAAAGACTTAATCACTCACTAACTTGTAACAACACTATTACTGGCCACTTTGTAATAACTCTATTACAAAGACCTCACAACTCGACTAACTCTAGCCAAGACACAAATACAAGGGTTTATGATTTAAAAAGGGTTTCCTACACAATGCTTCTAAGTAAGCTAAGTAGGAATTTCAAGTAAGAACTTCAACAAGGATACAACACAATAAGGACATATAATAATTCAATATGGGGAGCTGGTCCGTTGCTATGCTGTTCTTTGTTCTTGATACCCTTGAGAATCACTTGCAAGATGGACACACACTTGAGAGAATGCTTGATCAGTTCTTGAATGTGCAAGTGATTCGTTTTACCTTTGCTTGATGTTAATATCTCATTTGTGACATCACTTGGATGATGCAAGCATGTTAGGTAAAGGGCATTCCCCATAAAGTTAATTGCTGCACTGTTTTTGCACTGTAGCGTGTGCAGGCAGCAACTTTAAAGCCAGGGGAGTTGACTTGTACAGTCACCTCGGGAACTGGTAGGGACCTGTTCCCTCAGCTGTTCCTTCAACTCTGGAGATTTGAAACATATCCCAAACTAGAACCTTTCGATCTTAAGATCTTGAAAATGTGTAACAGGTTCCTTATCTGGTTTTCTCATGAAGTTTGTCAACTTTACAGCTGGGGGAGTTGACTTGTACAGTTACCTCGGGAATTGGTAGGGACCTGTTCCCTCAGTTGTTCCTTCTACTCTGGAGATTTGAAACATATCCCAAATTGGAACCTTTCGATCTAAAGATCTTGAGAATGTGTAACAAGTTCCTTATCTGGCTCTCATGAATTTAGTTAAATCATCAAAATCAAAGACGCATAACTTATCAGTTTCCCCCTTTTTGATGATGACAAACTTCGAATTTATATTTCCTTGAGAACCAGATCTCCAAATTGTTCCCCCTACGAATCAGCGATATTCCCCATGAGAATCAGACCAAAGGAACTGATCACAACTGGTTCCTCAAGATTGTTTGGCAAATCACATAATAACATAACTTATTATTTCCTCTTTTTTTGATGATGACAAACCCAAAATTAATGTTCCCCTTGAGAACCAGATTCCTCACATGTTTCCCTGCGGATCAGACCTATCTACATGTTATCAGCAACATTCCCCCTGCGAAGCACGACTATGTTTCATGCACAACACAACATATCAATTCGATTCTGTTCCTCCCCCATATTGACACCTATATAACTTCCCCCTTTTGGCATCATTGAAAAGAATAATAGAAGAAGTACAGCCAAAAAGAAGTTCAACAACATTAACTCATGCCACTTGGGCAACACATCATAAACAATAACTAGAACAACAAGTGAATGTCATTGTACAAAATAGACTGATTGCCCATAGTAGAGTAATTATAATAAAAGCATAGTAGTTTCAACAATACAAAATATGACAATTTAAGCAACTAAAGTACCAATGTCATCAAACATAGGGATCAAAAGAAGATAGGAATTCAAGGGAATTTGGAAGGAGGAAAGACATGGATCACCGGGCAGGAGGAAAAGAAAGGGGCTAAAGCCTTGATGAGCTTGTCCATTCGTTTATTCACAATCCTTTGATCAATGATCATCTGCTCTCTTAGGTCCTCCACCTATTTCCTCAATCTTTCTCACCCTTCAACTTAGCATTCTATTCTGCCAAGGGTCCATGGGGACTTGGTCCTCTACCTATCTGAGCAGGCTGAACCATCAACCAGATTACCAAGAATCTCCCAAAGCTTCTCCTCATCAAGAACAAACTCAGTCCCATGCACACATAGCATTAGAGTAACACATACAACATAGAAGTTTTTACTTCTTCTTCATAAACGTTGGGACTTGGAGGAACAAAGAGGTGATTCTATTTTTGGAACTCAATAATGTCAAGAAGTACCTCCAGTTTTCAGTAATATCATAGTCAACACTCTGCCTAACAACACTTTTTGAGAAATCAGAGTCTTCTACCTCTCCAAACCCGATAACTTAACCTTTTGCTTCTGTAAGGAACCAGGTTCCTCACTCACACTACCCTTTCTTTCCCTGAGCGGCCATGTCTCCCTCTTCTTATTCTCAATCTGTTCACCCTTATCATTTGCTACATCTTTCTCAGCCAACTTTCTTTTCTCCAATTTTATTTTTTTTCACAAGTGAAGATTTTTCCACTTCACCACATCAGCAAGTCACATCAATCAGCCTACTTTTCATCAATCCTTTTCACTAGATCTGAAGTTTGGTTAATCACAGAAGTCAAAAGAAAAAGATCATCATTAGGATTAACATCCTGAGAAGGACTTGAGGGATCAGGTCCCTCATTAAGTTTTCCCTTTTTCACCATATTCACCAATTTCTCCATCCTTCAAGACTTCTACAAACCCACCAACAATTTCAGCCTCACGCTCTAGAATATTAGCTCTACCCTGTTCTCTTTCAGTTAAACTCCCATCAAAATCTACCGAAGATTCTTGGGGTTTTGATTCAGATGGAGTTAGGATTTTGGA